GCATGTGCACCGCGATGTCATTTTCAACGGCATAACCTCAAGTAGTTTCGTTTCTGAAAGTCGGAGCATGCCCCTTGGTGCAAGTTGGGCGCAGACTCGCCAAATTTTGAGGAAATGTAGTAGCGTGTAGCAGCAAGGGCAATTCGGCACAGTTTGGCGCAATTGGTGCAGCAATAGCATCACTGACACTAGCGCGTTAAATGTAACTTATGACAGAATTCGTGTTAGTGCAGAAACATCGGTTTCAACACCACAAAGTGCATGCTATGGGGCAAACATGCGCATATCATATATAGCGGTCATAGGCGTATTCATGCTACACTTCACTATAACACAGCGAGTCAGATATCTAATTTTTCCTACATTGATAAAGAAGTACACAGCCAATTCTGCCACAATAATTGGTGTGGTCCTGACATCACGCTTGTATAAAGTCGTTCTCCACAATATCTTGAGGCGCTTGTGTGGCTCCGTGGTAGAATACTTGACTGCCATGCACAATGCGTGGGTTGGATTCTGGCTCAAGTCATCATTTTTAATCTCTGCTTCCATAGGAGTAATTAACCCATCAAATACACCACCGACCCTGGCACTGCATTTTCTGTGACACGGACTCCTTCATGTATTTTCTGTGACACGGACTCCTTCATACAAAAAGTTTGTATTTTCACTCCGCGTTTATGCATACTAAAGATCACCTATGTATGGTCCATACCCACACACCATAGATCAAGATACATGGGTATGCGCCACACGTGACTGGTGGCAAGGATTTGATGTACAGTATGGTCCACTCTTGGAGGGAACACTGCAACGCGTGGCTGGCGGCCCGCGTGGCGCAAACTGGTGGCGAGATTTGTAAACACAGCGCATGCGCATACACGCGAAAGGGTGTGGCTTGCTACTTCGTCTGCTACTTTCCACTCCGGCGCTTGCAGTGTGCTGGATACCACATTCGCTTTTCCGCAGTGTGATTCATGTCCCCGTCACTCTCCCTGCTACTCCCCGGGTAACCAGCGCGCAGAAAAAAGTGCCATTCGTTTGTTGTTGTGCTTTCTCGGCAGCTTTGTTGCGATTGCATTCATGACCACAGCAGCCGATTTCGGAATGCAGGCGAAAGGGGGAAAAAAAAAAAAAGCCATGTGCCGATAGTATTCAGAAAAAGGTTAGGAAAACACGTGTTTGAAAATACTTCAATGTATCCCACTCTGGCGGGACACAAAATTATATAATTATTGTGGATTGCAATACCCAGCAAGTGTTAGTTATAACTCGCGTTACATTTTCTTTTTTCCGTTGAGGTGAAAACGCTAGAAGCTCCTTATTTGGAATATGCGATAGCGTTCACTTTTCCGAAAATCATTACGTTTCACCAACATGCGCCCTGAAAAACGGTGTACGTAGAATACTACGGAGTAAACAAAGAAAAATTTATTCCTAGAACCTCTGTGACAAACAGGTCGAGTGAGGTCAGATCTGTAGCCTCGAAACATTTACATAGTGCATGGGTGATGAAACACATCTCTGCCCTGCGAGACACAAAATAAAATGCAGATATGTGTAAACAAAATAAGACTACGTGTGACAGAACTAGGCACTCTGATGACTGCGCCGGAAATGAGAAAGTGGCCTTTTCGCGATGATAGTGACAGCAAGCTGGCTCTATTCTTTGGTGTACAGCTCGACTATTTGAAGCCTTTCGTCCTCAGGCACTCCAAGACATGCAACTTCTAAGAACAAGCTATGCCCAAAATGCGATCAGAGAGCAAATACGCCCCCAGCTGTGGCAGTCTGAAAAAGTGATAACGAAGTCCATCACTCGCGTAGCTTTTGCATGGTGTTTGTGGCCACCAAAAATGTAATTGTAAGCTTTCCAAACGCTGTTCGAAACAGCCAGCCGGTTTTGATAACAAACATGGGAACCGATAGTCGATGAAGCGAGCACAGCAAGCTTGTCGCTAGCGTGCGCCGAGCGTAGGGCGGGGAAGTAGCAGACGACGCGGGCAAGTACCGCCCTTGCGATTCTGCGCGCATGCTCCGCATTTCCAAATCTCGCTAGCAGTTGGCGCCCCGCGGACCACCAGCCACGCGCTCGCGTGTTCCCCCAAACAGACGGATGGACGGACGGACGGACCGACAGACAGACAGGTAGGTAGGTAGATAAACAGACAGACAGACAGACAGACAGACAGACAGACAGACAGACAGACAGACAGACAGACAGACAGACAGACAGACAGACAGACAGACAGACAGACAGACAGATAGACAGACAGACAGATAGAAACAGTCCAAGTGCCTTTGATACACTAAGATATGCGTTGCATTTTTAAAAATCCTGCATATTCTAAAGAAATGTTTCTTGCACTATCGTGAACCAGTGCCATGAAGTCAAGTCGCACACTAAAATTTGCATGAAAATTCAATAACTAAATGATCTTGTATATCAAACTAATCCCCTCCCTTCTTTTTTTTTTCTGTTTTTGCAACTTTGATATATGTGGATTTGACTGTATCTGCATTCAACTATAGTGGCTTCCACTTTTGATGCAAGAATGCTATTAGCCCCATTAAGTCAACGCAGTGCCTCCTAGCATGAGCTACCAGCCAAAAAAATCCTATAATGTGCCTTGTACTGTGCCATATGCATTATTTGAAGGAAATGTGATACAGTTTCTCAAACCACATTGCTTGAAGTTTTCAAAATTTCTGAAGTCAAATTTGAGCCACTGCATTCAACAACCCTAATACAAGGTGCTTTTCTTTCACAATAGAATTTTTTAATAAAAATTTATGACAGTAACACTCGTGTCATATTTGCAAAGAAACTGTATGTCAAGGTGGAAATACTTCGACGCTACTAAGGTGATACCGACTGGAATTGTTAAAAACACCTCACTAATTGACTTTGATTATTGATTTGAGGGCACTTGTTTTTATTAGAAAGTTGTATTGTATGCCAATTTATGGCATACCCATTTTTTTATAATTTAAGAAAGTTGCACATAATTAATAGCATCAATAATTGAATTTTAGGGGCAATATCACAAACTGACCACACTTGGCACATAGAAATTGCAGCTTGTGAGGAATTATAAATCAAGTCACGCCATAGCAGAGTCTAGTCAGAAAAATTGGCAAGCGTCCTGAAATACTCGAGTAGACAGCTCATCTGTTTCGCCAACTATAAATAGAAGAAAAAAAAGATTTGCCAGTCAGAAAAAAGCATCGCAGTGGCTCCTCCCCCTCCCCTTCCCGTTTTATGCTTTATAGAGAAAGAAGAGGTTTACATAGTGGTTGAGAAAGAAGAGGTTTACATAGTGGTATTGTTCCGAACAGCTCAAAAGCACTAAACACCTCACGCAAAGGTAAGCCAATACACAGGTATAAGTGATATGACTTGCTCCTTTTCATAAGATATGGCCACGATACACCTTGATTTAAATTTGTCACTTCCTTGTCATAGGTAGTTACAGTGTGACGTAATAAAGCTGTTATGTTTCCTGCGCACTAGACACAACTGGTTTCGATGTAGTCCTTATAATACAATTATTCGATTATATCTCATTTAACCTGAAACTGTGATTTCTGAAAAATGTGTATGCCATTAATTGTCATGCACTATAACTTTCTATAACAAGGAGTTCATGTGCGAAAATCACAGGAGCTTTACCGTCATCGAATTTGAATAAATATCTAATGAAAAAAATTTATAATTCAAACATGACAGAGCAAAAGAGTTTTCTATGTAATGACAGATGCAAGAGGGCACCACTCCAGCTTAGCAGTGTTGTTGCTTCAAAAGCTGAAATAATTACATTTAAATCCACACATATTGGATTACGGCCTAAACATGTATTAAATACTTCAGACTTCCAAAATCAATGGCAGCTGCCATCGGAACCACATTCAGTCTGTACTGCTGAGCTATGAGTACACATGCACATATGGCACCCATTTTATGACAAGATTGTTCTATAGTTGCAGCACATTCATAATGGCTTGTTCATGCTTTTGCGACAAAGAACTTCAGCATTTTGCCTTAAACTGCTGAACTACAGAAGGTGTACTGTAATATAGAGCATGTTTCTATCAAGCATGTTATGTGTGGTTGATCAAATGTCCCATTAACCACATACATTTATAAATAATGTTACCACCTAATACTCTAACATATCATGAGATATTTTTATGATATTTCAAAAAACATTTAAGTGGTTGTTACAGTGAAATGCCCTAGTGGAATTGCAGTACGATACACTTTACTACAAATAATAAAATAATGAGTAACATTAGGATACACAAGAAACATTTAATTACTCAACCCAATGCAAGCCGTACCAGCTCAGGAAGCCCACAGGCATCATGAAAATGGAAATTGTGTGTCCGAGTATCAGATCTATAGTTTAACTGCCATATCACACCTTTTTTTTTTTTTTTTCTCCCCCACCACTCCCACCACATACAGGGCAGCCAAGCAAAGATATGCTCTGTAGAATCACCTCTTCTCCCTTTACTTCTCTCTCGTGAGACTTTTTCTTGTGTCAGCTGGCTATGGCAAATTTTGGGACAGTAATGTATGATGACATGAAATTCTCCACCACACTACGAGCCATAAATATTATCATTAGAATACAACTAACGCCAGCAAAGTTCTTTTGAACACTGCACTAATAGAATATGATTGCAGAGAACTGAAGATATGCAGGTAAAGCCAAGCAAACCTGTACAGTATTCGTGGGTTATACGTTGCGTTTACAGATTGGGAATTGAAATGGAATGTTTACCAGTGCACACGACCAAGTTGGTTGTAAATAAAAAATTATTTATCGGATTTTTTTATTTAGTATGAAGTTACACTGTGTGTGCAATAAAATTCATTATTACACTATAATTTTAAAACAGTTGGGACCCTGAATAATGTGTTTCTAGTGCATGCAGTATGGATATAGAGAGCCTACACAGAAATGACCAACAAAAATAAGAAAGCAAATAAGCACCCTTTGGTGGTTGGATCAGTTGTGAGCCAGTGAAGAGGTGCCTCTTCTGAATGGGAAGTATGACAGTTTCCCTGAGCTCCTGAGTGATCTCCTCCAAGCCAGCGATGCTATCCCATGATATACTGATGTCTCGAGGATCAATTAGCTGAGCCGCAATTGACAGCTCATATTCTGTCAACTGAAAATTCATACAAATAATATATTTCAGAACACACATCACTAATCATTACTGTAATTGGTTGGTGTAAGGCATTTTACTTTAATGACAAGTTTTGCATTTCTTCACAAGTCACAATACATGCCAATGTCAGAAACAACAGAAATCGTTACATAGTCTTGCACTGCAGCCTAAACATGACTTGCATAACAACATCAAAATCCAAGAGAATCAGCCTACACATTCATGATGAAACCAGCATTAATTAAAAAATAATTCATGCTGGAAACATGTAATGACTCGACTTAGCAACAAAGTTGTTTCTTTGTTTTCTCTAGGTATAACGCAAAAGCCTATTCTAAGGAACATCATTTCACTTGGAAGAACACTACTGTGGTCATAAAGAATTGCTTTCTGAAACATATGGCAACACAAACATGCATTAAAGGGGCCATTACACAGTCATGCAACAACTCGTGGTTTTCAGTGAAAGCTAGAAGTAGTGGTTCTATTATGCCTATACAAATATGAAAAGTGAGCCATAAAAGAATATTTCGGTGCAAAATGAGCTCTAGAAGTCATCGCTATAAACCTTGCCCTCCACTGGTGAATGCCATCATGCCATGGTATGTGTGAGCAAGGAGCAGCACCATCGTCTTTCACAAAAGTTTCAGCTGCTGCTGCAAATCGTTCAATTCCAGTGCCAATTTGAATAAAGCTAAAATATCCCTATTCCACGTGCAGCTGAGAACAGAACAATATCGTTGGGTGGAATGCCGGTGTTAGCTTGTTATGCCACGACTCACGAGTGCACCAGTGTTGTCACTCTCGGGCTGTTAACGTGTTTATAAAAATATTCAATTATAAAGTCAGTGCTCGATCGAATGCACTAAAATTTGACCAGCTTATTCATGAATGCACAAGAATTAACCCACACTACAAAGATTATGATAGAAAATTAGGTGTCAAGGCCCCTTTCAAATGCGCAAAGATCAATATGGCAATCTTTAGAATGTTGGTCAAACTCCTCTACTGAAATGCACAAGTTACTTTCAAATCCTCCGGTTCTGTATCAGTGATTCTATTTTATGCCTACTCGATCATTTGTTTGAAGCAGTAGTTTGCAGCTAAACAATAACACAGCAGTTGCACCACAAACTGATTTGTAAAAAGTTGCTAGGTTACTGGAATCCCCATACTCGCAGATTTCCACTCTGTATATATAAAGGGACCCAGCAACACTTCTTGAGCATGATCAGATGACGCTACCCATTACTAGTCGAGGCTCCCAACAACATTATAATGCAGCGTGGCCTAAATTTACAATTGATTTCTGAATCAACCATAACTTTACTTGATTTTTTTTCACAAATGATGCCGTATAGCCAAATTTGAGACCGTTGGCCAATTTGGGCATCGTGAGCTGCATAGTTACCAAGGCTGCAGCAAAAGGTCGGCACGTGCATGATCACACTTGAAGTAAGCCATGCATTTCCAGGAAGAAAGTGCTCAAGGTCATGACGCGTGCCCAATGCAACTTTGTTCCTCTGCACCATCCCGCCCTGCTTAGCTATCGGTGCACGACAAATTTCAAACTTCACTCGTACTTGACAGATCTAAAGAATTTTGGCAGTAGTCAACTGGTGTGGCACTAAGCTTTTTTAATGAAGCCATTCGATGACTACTTGCCAACTGATTACACTAACACATACAGTTAACAAACAGAGACACCCACATGCAGAAGTTGACAGACCAGAGTCACTGCAAAAAAAATTTTTAATTCATCACAGCTTAACATAACACCTTGAAATGAAGAAGCGTTGACTCACAGTGGCAATTCATTTATTAGTTAAACAGTCGCTGACACTGAAATTCCTAACTTGAGATGTCTGTTTGATCGTCCTGCATATGTAAGTGCACCTGACTGATTATAAGTGCCAAATATGGCCTAGAACATGTTTCATTATGGTTTTAAAATATAACATGGGCTAAAATCTCTTGACAGCACTTTACGACATCAATATGACTTGACAGTTAAATACGTCCACATACGTGTAGTGCACCTTCATATTGGTCTGCACAAGTGTGATACAGCTTTTAAGCAGCAAACATACAGAGGCCATGAGCAAATGTACAGCTACTAGCACGCTTAACTCCAATGCTCCACCTGCTTCTAATGATGCCATGTCTGCCAATCGCTGGATGTGGTATGCTTACTGTGCTTAACAATAGATAGAGCGGGGGTAGATTTCCCGGGCAAACCTATGTTCTACTTCTGCCTGTCCAACGGGTCAAATACACTCTCAATGCATGTGTTTTCAATACGTTTTGCTCGTGGCTACGTCCTCACGTGTGCTCATTGAAATTTTTGCCACATGCTCATCTCAGCAATGGGCCAGGGGCATGGGATAGCCCATGCACCTTTCGAGTTTGAAATCGCAGCTGCCTTTCAAAATGATATCTTCGAAAAGCAGAGAAAATGCAAATTCACCAAATTTCAGATTCATCTAGTGTGCAACTTTTGCAAAAGCCATGAATGTGCATTTGCTGTTGTTTTCCAATATATTATTTTTCTTGAGCAACAGCTGCGATTTCACACTAGAAAGGTGTGCGGGTTGTCATACGTAATGGTTCATAGCAGAGATAAGTATATGACAAATTTTATGAGCGAGTGTGCGAACATAGCCACAAGTGAAACATGGCAATAAAAACGAACTGGCCAAGTGAATGTGTTCGACCTGCCAGTGAGAAAGAAGTGAAACTAACCCACGCACCATCTATCGTTAGCTGCAACAAACATAGTGGCCAACATTTCGCGGTGCAGGCGTCAGTCGAAGCGGGTCGATGCCACGCAATGGAGCATTCGAGTTAAGCATGTTGTTGGCTGCAAAACATGTTTTCTTGCCATTTAGCTCTGAGTCAATGTAAGTCACTATGAGCCTTCAAGGTCCACAAACACTTACGTTCACATTCTGTATGCCTATTTTTTTCAGTATCCTATCTGCCTGAAAAAGTAAGAAAAAAACAATTAGAAATCTGTATTTCTCCTCAAGGAAGAGGAGGTGTTTTATCCATGAATATTCATTTGATAGGCTTGCCTGTCACCAGGCCTAGCATGCTACCCCAGATGAGTACTGTGAAACATGAAATCATATGCAGTCTGCCAAAAATACAGATCACACACAAAACTTATCACAATGCTGTTCTTGAATCCCAACATTTTTTTTTTTTAATCCGCAAGTATCGAGTTGGGGAACACTTCGAAATACGGCGTCCCGCTTCATGGTACCGAAACGACGTTCAGTTAAACCACATGGTTGAGACAGATAGCATTTCAGGACAGAACAGTAGTTAGAGATTTATATGGAAATTTATATAAAAATTTATATGGCAATTTCTGAAACCCACAAGAAAGTACGGCGGAGCGTCATTTTCAAAACAGAAAAACACATCGGAAAGTACTATAAGATCTCGAACAGTCCCTCTCATTCCCTCAATTTTCGAACAAATAATAAAAGCCACCCGTGGAAGCCACGAACAGTACTGGACGAGGCAAAATATGAGTAGCTCAAATATTTCAAACCGCAACAGACGCTTTCAGGAAGCGCCGAATGGTGTCAAACCACGTCTTCGGCAGGATTCACTTCTTAGTCGTTTAAGGTTTGTTGTAAACGTTAATTCGCCACAAATACACTGTTATTTGGACAAATTTGACATTCTATGACGAATTCACCGTATACACGACACGGCACAACTGTTTCGAGTCACTCGAGACAATTGTGAAAGGAGCCCTTCTTTAGATCACACGATATCACGCAACGCTGCATTCTTACTCTTTTCTTGGACTCAATCTTCTGCTTACGCGTCGGATCAATAGCGTTAACCATCCATTTTATGCCAAAGTACGTTAAAGCACCAAAAAGGGACAATCGAAACACAAGGCCAGTAAGTTCACCGCGTGTGAGAGGCATTCGGACACTTTCGCTCGCCATCTTAATCTGCATCAGCGCCTCCTTTTATTTTTTCAGTGCCCGGACGGAGGAGCGGATTTCAATGGGAAGAGGCCGTCGGTGCTAGTGTGGCATTTCGACGCCAGGCGCCGCAGCTGGAGTAGAGATGCCACCGCGTCGTCTCTCACGCAAACGAATGCCGCGGCTGCATTCGAAGCTGCTATACGGCTCGGTTTTCGGCTGTAATCGCATTGTTTAAGGTGTAATGGAAACTTGGAAACGAGAATTATGAAGCGCTTGTTGTTCTAGGCACTCAGCCCATTTCAAAGGCTTGAGTCATTCGCAACTTCTTGATCAAGCCGCTCACGCGTTGTCTGCTAGCTAGGCTGATATGCAAGTAATCCGCGGAAGATCGTTTTGTCACCGTGGCGTTCGCTCGACCGAGAGTTGCTTTTTTGACTATCTGAAAGTCGATTTTTGAGAGAAGGCTTTGCCAGGAGCTAATATTAAAAGCTTGGGCACATAATGTTCCCCGATGCTCGCTACTTGATATATTTTAGTGGCGTAGCACATTGTGCGCAAGTCTGAAGTTTATGCACTAAACAGCACCAAATGTCACAAGACTGCTTCCAGAATATAGGTTGTCATCTGTTCTCTTCGCAAAGCCTGACATGTGTTGCCACTGAAAAAAGCAAGTGTCTGAAAATGAAGAACTATGGCCGGTGATTTCACCATTTGAGAGCTTAAACAATGAAATCATCGTGAAATAGACAGAAACAGGTCCATATGCGGCGCGATTTCTGCGATAATTGCCTGTGTTTTGAACAGGCGCTGTTGAAGTCTCAAGTCTCGACTCTCAACTTGAGCCAATTAGGGTGACAGGCATGAAAAATGCGGCCTGTGGTCAGTTGCTTGAGCTTGTCAGTATTCGTGGACGAATTGTTATAGCCTTAATATCCGGCTGCTCAGATCTGTTTTTTTTTTTTTTTCTGCTTCCCTCTGGCATGTTAATTCGGTAGCGAGCAAAGTAGAGCCGAATGGCTGTGTGGTACCCATGGGCAACCATTCAGCTTCGGAGCGTAATGTTTGCGTTGCACACGGCAGTGATCGCGAGGCAGCGTTGTTAGTCCATCATGATGGACTCATTTGTTGAGTGTTCGGATGCAGCGCGCTCCCGTTTAGTCATTCCAGTCGCCATGTTGCCAAACGTGACGGGTAGTCTTCATAGTATAAAATACTCAGGTTGTAAATGATGGTTACATATTAGTAGTACGAAGATTTATTATGAGACCAATTTTTCTGCCTGATTACCGCAAGCACGCTTTCCCCTAACACCAGCGAAACCTGCAATTTCATGGAGCTGCAGCCGTGCAGCGCATTAAGGTGATAGCTTTAAATGTCTCATCAAAAGCGAAAACCGATCGCCGGCGGCGTCCGGCGTCTTTTCGCGTGGGCAGCGTGAGCACGAGTGATGCAAGAAATCATAATTACGTGAAAACGTCATCATATGACGTCACAAATCATAAATGTTTGTGATGTATCGGAAGGTCACATAACTTGATGGCATCCTATAACATCTTCGCTTGGTTGAAATTGGCCGATCGTGAGGGCATAACCAGCTAAGGGGCAAAAAGCTAGCTTCATCTCCAATTCTTGAGGAAGTAGGAAAACCATGTTGGGCGCAGAACTATCCCGGAGGGAAGTAGAAAACATTTAGTGCATTGAATCGGAAGAAAACGGGGATAGTTTTTGCCTTTCAGTCGTCTCAAGTTTCCATGGAAATCTCAGTGGGGTCCTTCAAAAAAAACTTGAAGTTATTATCTCCAGATTCCGGTGCCGTGCTCCCCCATTAAATTTTTATTTACACGGATCTGGTCCGACACTCTCCCCTCTTTATCCGTTCTGCGATGAATCGGGAACTATTGAACATTGTTTGGTCTCATGTCGTAAATACACAGTAATAAGGAAAAGACTTCTAGCTATTCCGTTTGCGAAGCTATAGGTTTAAGTAAGTTTAACCACAGAAATTGTTCTAAATTTTGGTGCTTCCGTTTCGGGAAAATGCCACAGAGATGTATTTGATGCGGTTTGCAATTTCATTCCAGAAACTAAACGTATTTACACATAGGGCCTCCTTTAACAATTACTAAAAAAAAGAAGAGTTGGGAAGTAATTTTAAAATCTCAATAAATATGAGACAAGCATCCCAAATTAATCGGGTTTGGCACACAGCTGTCTGATCGACTCCCAAAATCAAGGTATAGTAATTAAATTAGTGATTATTTTATTTTTTCTTACTCTCCGAATCTTTGTTTTTTTATATTGTCTTCATTCTACATCTTTTCTTTTTTTTTGTGCGCAATAGTGCAGTTACTGCCTATAAGATACTGTATGTTTTCTTGGCCAATCCCCCAGAGTGGGCATATGCCATGGATTACAGGCTACAAGTAAACAAACAAGTAGCCACAAGTAAATCTATAAGAGGACCGACGAGTTTTTTTTTATTTTTTAACTAATGAGAAATGAAGAAAAAGACAATATTTTTTTTCGTTAAATATGCAGAGTGGTACACTGCAGTACTATATACTGAGGCATGCAAATAATGGGGTTTTGAAAAAGAAAATGAAACGCGAAGGCTATATAAAACTCGAACAAAATATCGAACCGGTAGCACGGCCTGACAGAGCCAAGTGAAAACAGCGCACCGCTATGTTCGTGTTACTTTTCATCCTCCCTGCATCCGTGAAGCCATCAAACCGTCAAGAAGCACAAATGCAAATTAACTCGCATGAAAAGAGGAATTTGCGAGCTTCCTAATACGCGCGGCCGTTCAGCACCAGTATACCATGGAAGGATGGATATGACTCTGCAGGCATGATATGGATACTGCAGGCATGAATAGAGGATGAGGGAGTGCTGGGGGAACTGCTTAATGGGTTTAGGAAACAAATGAGGTTGGAAGACAATCGGTTCTCACTGACGCAGTGCATCGAAATAACAGAAAAGGAACACAGGCCCCTGTGGCTAGCATTTTTGGATATCAAGCGATAGCGTGGTTCAAGAGGACTTGTGGGGAATACTAGACACACTGGGTGTGGAAGATGGAGTCACTAATCTTTTAAAGGAAATCTATAAAGTAACAAGGTAGTTATAAAGTGGGAAAAACAGATATCCAAGCCCACAGAGGTGAAACAGGGACTTAGGCAGGGGTGTCCACTGTGACCCTTGTTATTCATGATGTACCTACAAGGATTAGAGGCCACATTAGAGGGAAGTGGACTTGACTTAAACCTTTCTTTAGTCAAACAAGGAAAACTAATTGATCAGGCACTACCAGCATTAATGTACGCAGATGATATAGTACTAATGGCTGACAACAAGGAAGATTTGCAGAGATTGATGGACATCTGCGGTAATGAGGGAGATAGGTTAGATTTTAGATTTAGTAAGGAAAAATCAGCAGTCATGATTTTTAATGATAACGAAGGTAGTAATCTTAGAATACAGGAGGTCACGCTAGAGATAACAGATAAATACAAATATCTGGGCGTACGGATAAGCAATGAGACCGAGTACCTAAGGAAACACAAAATATACGTGACGACTAAAGGTAAAAGGAATGCAGCAGTGATGAAAAATAGGGCACTGTGGAATTACAATAGGTATGATGTTGTGAGAGGAATATGGAAATAAGGTGTCATGGTTCCTGGGCTGACGTTCGGCAATGCGGTCTTGTGCATGAGATCAGAAGTTCAAGCAAGATTAGAAATTAAGCAACGTGGAATAGGTAGGCATGCTTTAGAAGCTCACGGGAATACACCGAATCAGGGAGTACGAGGTGATATGGGATGGACATCATTTGAGGGCAGGGAAGCTAGCAGCAAGATAAAATTTGAGAAGCGATTGAGAGAAATGGGGGAGGAGCGTTGGGCTAAGAACGTTTTCAGCTACTTGTACATGAAGAATGTCAATACAAAATGGAGGAAGCGAACCAGGAAATTGACTGGTGAATACTTAGAAAACAGCAGGTGGCCAAACCAAAAAGAACTATCGGTTAAGAAGAAAGTGAAGGAAACGGAGGCTGACCTGTGGAGAAGTGGCATGATTAAGAAGTCCGCACTAGAGATCTATCGAACTTTTAAGCAGGAAATTGCCAAGGAAAGGATCTAGGATAATACTCGGGGTAGTTCTCAACTGTTTGAGGCTAGGACGGGAGTATTGCGAACCAATTAAGACATATCGGGCCAAATACGAAAGGGTAGACACAGTATGCAGTGCGTGTGGAGAGGAAGAAGAAACTGCTGAACACTTGATAATGTTCTGCAAAGGGCTTCACCCTATAGTTCAGGATGATGGCGCAGAGTTTTTCAAAGCACTGGGGTTTAGGGACAGGGAGGGCAAGAAAGACTTTAAGTGGGTAGCCTTAACTAGAAGGCGGTTATCTGATTGGTGGCTAAAGTCAAGGCACGAGTGAAAATTAAACCCTTCACTGCAAAGTACGAACTCTAAACCTCACTATTTAAAGGAAAAAAAAAATAAATAAATATAATAATTAGTTCACTAAGTATTACGGCTAGGTAGCGCTGGCCGCCGCCCAATCTAAACGGTACAGTCACATTCATTTATCCATTTATTTGTAGACAGTAGCCATGACAAAAGACAATCCATCAACTTAGGTAGTCGGCGAGTGCAGTTCAATGAAATATTCAGTTTTTAAATAATAAAAAAGTAGAAAGAAATAGGTCTTTTTGAAATAATCAGTCAACTACTAGAAAGTAAAAAAAATTCAAATAATTTTACATAAACACAAAAGTGAGACTGAAACTGCATTGTTTTTTTGTGTGTTTTTGTGTAGTAAAATGCAAATTTTATAAAAACAAAGGTTCTTTTATGTAGCACAAAGCAAAGTTTACTTTTAAAAATTACCAACTTTCTCAAAAAAAGATAACTCACTTCTGTCACATGACATTGCTGCGAAGTTGTTTGTTCAAAAAGCACGCGTAACGAAATCTCACAGAATGGTTCCATAGAAGCCCGCCTTTCTAATGCATTTTGTTTGGTTTACGCTTTGGCAAGTACATTTGAAATAGATTTCGTCAGTTTTTTGCCGAAAACCCAACTTAAACATGGTACGTAGCCCTGTGACGCCGAAACACAGCAAATGGTCCTACTTAAGGTGAGAAGTTCCGTTTGTTTTCAATGATCTTGAACAATCTAAGCGATCGCTTCCTGCCTTGCAAGCAAAAAACTGCGCACACGTTGTCATGTTTTCATTATTTCTAAAACGAAAACAATAAAATGTAGGCGAGGTTCCTATTTAATGTCTCCACCAAATTGAAGCGCTGTCTGGGTTTGGACCAGGAGAGCCAGCTGACTGTCTTGTTCCTCGCCCTCAAGGCGCTGTTCAAACGTCCAGTGTAGTAAATATGAGTGTGTTCGCTCACGGTGGTCTTCTGGAGCATGTGTGTGATGTGTGACGATTTTGTCTTTTCGCCTCGCCACTGACGTTTGCGTACGCTTCTCAGTCGCGTATTAGCTCCGTCAGTCTGCTTTCACTTCAGGGGATCCGTATGTCGGCCGTTGCCGGGTTCAGTTTTCGGCGAGGGCCTGTCCGCATACAGTAATGGGAGATATAAACTGAAAGGAGTACAAATGTACGCTCCGACGTTCAGCGATGACGATCAATCGTGAGAAAACAGACAGGAATCTTGGGATATTGAAGTAGCACTTCAAAAGACGCAAATTCAGTACAACATGTTCATGGGATACTTCATTGCGAAAGAAGGTAGAAGAACAGGCAACCATTAGCTATGTTATCAACTTTAGGAATAGCAGAGAAAATGTGCTTCTGGAATCTGCATAAAGATATAGACTTCATATACTGAACATATTCCACAGAAAGCACATAGATAGAAAGTGTTAATGGAAAACTCATAACACTGAAAACAAAATAACAAAAATAAAATCCTGTTCCACACCTCTGCAACCTGGGTAAACAGCAGACCTGGCATGCAAGTGTTACCACCTTGAAAAAACAGATTAAGTTCTTTCTTAATCTTTTTTTTTTTCTTTCTTTGTCCTTTTTACATCTTCTTTCTTTCGTCTTTCTTATCTCTTGCTATATTGCCTTCTCCTTTTCCTTCCCTTAACTCTCAGCCCCGCCGCGGTGGTCTAGTGGCTAAGGTACTCGGCTGCTGACCCATAGGTCGCAGGTTCGAATCCCGGCTGCATTTCCAATGGAGGCGGAAATGTTGTAGGCCCGTGTGCTCAGATTTGGGTGCACGTTAAAGAACCTCAGGAGGTCAATATTTCCGGAGCCCTCCACTACGGCGTCTCTCATAATCAAATGGTGGTTTTGGGACGTTAAACCCCACATATCTATCATATCTCTTAACTCTCAATCACTCACCCTCACCTCTATTTCGAACCCCCTTTCTAAACTATACTGTACAAGGTTGTGCACTGCTTTACACCCTCTTGTCCCCCTTTCCTTCATCCTCACTGTCACCTCCCTCTCCCACCTCCTTGCTCTACTATGCTATGCATGGCTATGCTAGGCTAGGAGCTGCTTGGCACATACCTGCTTTCTGTACCACTGATCACATGAACTGGTGGCAAGGAATGCTTAACACTCTGAACTTTATAGTTCAAATATAAATTAATGTACCATCAGTGTAATCGAAGTCAAACATAACACTGATGTTTCATGCAAACTATCAACAAGGATAGAAATGCCCTACAAGGCATGTCCTGCTGAATAGCCATCAGAGAAGATAGTTAAACTGCTGCTTTGATCAAATATGGAGGAGATTTCATATTTAAGAAGCTTGTGACACTGTGCATTATGCCTGAAAACTTCGAATGTACAAGCTAGTTGGAAAAAGTACCAATATTTTACTTGTAAACAAAAAGGGAGATGTAAACTTGCTTAAAGGGGCCCTGCAACACTTTTTGAGTGTGGTCAGAAAATGCTGCCGCTGGCAGTTGAGGCTCCCGAGAACATGTGAGCCAAACATTATAGTGCAGCACACAGCGGCGAATTAACAATAAATTCTCAAAGTTAACCAAAAATTGCTTTCTCATCTCTCAAAAAATGATGCTACATACTGAAAAATTACTGCATCACTGGCCAGTATCACGCCATGGGCTGATTTGAGCATGGCGCACTCGGTGAGTTTCTGGGGCCACCACGGGAGGCCGTGACTTGTCTGCGTAGGCATGCACGATGGCACTAAAAAGCCATGCCAGCCAAAAAAAAAAAAAAAAAAAAAAAAAAAAAAAAAAAAAAAAGCTCGCGGCCTTTTTTTTTTTTTTTTCTTTGGCTGGCATATGTTCACATGTTTTCTTCTCTGTGCCATCCTTCCCTGCTTAGCTTCCAGCGCTTTTGTCAGGACAAGAGAAAAAAGAAAGCAATTACAGCATGCAGTAAATCTTTGTTAACGGTGCTCATACTGCACCGGCTCTAAACATTTTTGCAGTGCTCAATTCATGAGGCAATAAGCTCCTTTACTGAATTCATTCCATGTCTACTTAGAAAAGTGTTGTAGAGCCCCTTGAATGGGAAACTCTTTTTAATCGTGCGTAAGAAGTTTTCTGAAAAAAATTGAGATGGGACAGAGCACACTCTTACATTTAGTTTATTGCTGAGATTATGGGAATATATATGGACAATCGGGTAGGTGAGGAGAAGAAGCAATGAAAAGACGGGAAAAGGGGCAGTGCATGTACAAAACTGCTTATTCACATATTACTCTTCTGTGCAAAAAATACTGATATTCATTGTCGAAAAAATTGACAGACGGGGCACTCGCACTCTTCGTTTATGCTATGTGAAAAGTGTTGCTCTACAGAGTACAGACCGATCAGCCTGCTTTCAGCATTACGCAAAATATTCATCATGGCAACTTCGAAAAACATAAGAGATGTACTTCACATTAATCAACCTAGATTTCAAGCTAACTTCAGGAAAGTGTATTGTAGGGCACATCACCTTCATGCTAATAATGAAATAATGGAGAAATCTGCTGAATTCAAAAAAGCCCATTATATGACATCCTTAGATTACAAAAAACCAGTAGAATCAGTAGAGATACCGGCAGTTTTAGAGGCACCGGCAAGGGGTACTTGAAGTATGTGTGAATGCAATCGCCGACATCTGCAGAGATTGTATAGCTGCCCTGCTCCTCTTTGAGAAAAGGAGCAAAACTCTGATTAAGAGAGGGTTCCAACAAGGAGATACATCCCCGTTGTTTACTGTCTGTTTGGAAGGATCCGTAAAGAGGAAAATGATTTTTCTCATATTAGTAAATTAATCTCTCAAGATTCCAAATTGCCTCGTTTGCTGCAAGAGGATTCTTGATAAAAAATGGGCAAAAAGAAAATGCGGGTGGTGACACCACCTCAAAGTTATGACGCCAAACCTCTGACATCATCGTAGATTTTAATGGCAACTACTAGGCCATTTGCTTGGTTTGAAATCAATAAATATGAAGTAGATTGTCCTCTGAGGGGCCCAAAAGCGTAATGGGGGAAGTGGGTTTTTAAAAGAAATCAAAATTTTCTTTACCAGATTTAATGAAACTGCCCTGACTTCTTTAGTTTTCTTCTCTCATTCTAAATAAGCAAATATTTTTAGGATACTTCTGTTAGTTTTGAAGTTAAAGGGGCCCTGAAACACTTTTTCAAGTAACCATGGAATGAATTCACTGGAAGAGCTTATTGCCTCACGAATTCCACACCGCAAAAAATTTTCAGAATTTGTCGTCCGAGCAGAGTTACAAAGGTTTGTCGCATGCTGCGAGTGCATTCTCTCGCCCCGACGAAAGCGCTGGAAGCTAAGCAGGGAGAGATGGCAGGGCCACAGAAAAACGTCACGCGTGCCTCGTGAGCTTGAGAACTTCTTTCTTTTTTCTTCCAATGCACGGATTTTTCAGTGTGATCGCCCCTGCACGCGTGGAAAGTAGTGGCCTCCTACGGCGATCTCTGTAAGGAGCGACAGTGCCATGTTCGAATTACGTGTGATTTTTGGGCATGTTGCGTGATTTGTCGAGTAAAAAAAGCAATTTTTAGCTGACTTTGTTAATTTATTGTGAATTCCAGGCCGCATGTTGTGCTTTAATATTTGTATCGGGTATTGTTGGGACCCTTTACTACCGATCAGCAGCGTTTTCTGACCATGGTCAAAAACTGTTGCAGGGTCCCTTTAATCAAAATTAATTAGTATCCTTTTCGAGAACAACAAAACAAAAGCTACTCATCAAAACCTTGATTTAAGCTCATATCTAGATACTAGAAAACTAGGCTTGTGCGAATAGTGAATTTTAGGCTCGAAGCGAATAGTGATTTTGATCTAATAATTTCGAATCAAATTTGAATAGTACAATATTTCTAATTATAAATAAAAAGGGTATGTTTGTGATGACCAAACTAACCTGCACAATATGTATGTATATATACATACATACATACATATATATATATATATATATATATATATATATATATATATATATATATATATATATATATATATATATATATATATATAACAGGCTACTCAACGATTGACCACATTCATACTATCCATCAGGTAATAGAGAAATGCTTAGAATATAACTGCTTCATAAAGAAAGCAACAGAATACCAATCAAGAAGGGTATAAGGCAGGGGGACACAATTTCCCCAATGCTATTTACCGCGTGCTTACAGGAGGTTTTCAGAAGCCTAGAATGGGAACAGTTAGGGATAAGAGTCAATGGAGAATACCTTAGTAACCTGCGCTTCGCCGATGACATTGCATTGCTGAGTAACTCAGGGGACGAATTGCAACTCATGATTACGGAGTTAACAAGGAGAGCAGAAAGGTGGGTCTCAAAATTAATCTACAGAAAACTAAAGTAATGTACAACAACCTCGGAAAAGAGCAGCGTTTCGAGATAGGTAATAGTGCACTTGAAGTTGTAAAAGACTATGTCTACTTAGGGCAGGTAATAACCGCAGAGCCGAACCACGAGATTGAAGTAACTAGAAGAATAAGAATGGGGTGGAGCACATTCGGCAAGCACTCTCAAATTATGACAGGTAGATTGCCACTATCCCTCAAGAGGAAGGTATATAACAGCTGTATCTTGCCGGTACTTAGCTACGGAGCAGAAACCTGGAGACTTACAAAGAGGG